ATTGTGTTGGAAAATTTGATACCATTAGAACCGCATCACGAGCAACCAAGGCCAAGATATCGGCACAGGAAACCACGCCAGGACACTTCTTTTCTAGAGCTGATTTTACAGCATCAATGACGTTGAACCCTCTTAAGGTTTTATTTGGGATGGCGTCTTTCTCAGCTTGATTCTTCTTTGTAGAACTTAGGAGCACGGAACCATCACATCCCTGGAAAGCATAACTTGTTAGGATATTGTTCTATGTGTGCTTATGCAGCAACGTCATGTTGAAAATAATGATACAAGATAAATTCTGTTTCAGAACTGTGTAAATTGCACAGTAGTGTAGCTTAAGGGCTTACCCTGATGAAACAATCATGGAAATGCATTCTTAGCAGAGGAGCAGCAAGGGTTCGGTCCCTAGAAATGTAACGGTAAAGAGTTTGATGGACTATAAGCTCTGCATGAGGACATGCTCTCTGGTAAAACCCGAGTTGCAAACCCCCTGCATTAGTGAGGCCGGCAAGCAAAAAAGCAAGGGCTAGTTGAAGAAAGAGGACTGGGAAAAGCTTTTGAACAGCCATTTTCCCTTAAGAGAAGTTTGCAAGTTGTACTTCAGGCTGAGATGGTTCGGAACACAAGTCTTCTGGATATTTTATAGTTGAGCTGAGCCTTTGACAGTGTCTTTGCACAAACTGTCATTTGATTAGTTATTCATTCATGCTGTTGATATGATAAGGTAAACAATTTAAGAGCCGACTTGCTATATTTTTGTCAACTGAAAAACACTTTGTTATTGCCAATTGGTTATGGCTTGAGTTGTGCTCTACACGCATTAGGCATAAGTTTTTCTTTTCTTTTATTTTTTTTGACCAAGTACTTGAGTTTGCATAATACCTGCTCTCCTCAAAATCTCCTTGAACGTTAGCAGCTAAAAGAGAAAATCCAATTAAATTTGACTGCTAGAACTCGCTAGAAAAATGTCTCACAGAAAGAAACAGAGGAGGAAAGGCAATAAAACAAAGCAAGGAGAGAGTACCTGAGCATGAGCTAGTACAAAGTTTTCAGAAAGGCTAATATGTGTTGGAACACAACAATGCAAGTTTGTAAGCTCCTGCAACTTAATCATGATGTTAATATAAGCTTCCTGTTAGTCTTAAAAATAAAGTACTTGATGTGGCCGAGGTAGTAGAAAGTTAAGGTTCTGAGCAATTAAGTCACGATCTGACTTCGTTAGATGAGGATTTGCCATCAATGAATTATCAAAGTAATATTAAAAAACTATAATTTTTTATCTTGGATTAAGCTTAAATTTTTTCAGAAAATTCACGAGACCTAGTTCTATAGAAAGACCCCAAAATTAAGCCGTGAAGATGATGTTTGAGCCAGTTTTATTATTTTTTCTTGGTTTTTCTAGATTTTATATTAATCACAGATTTTATATTGGTTTTCCTTTTCATTTAGGGATCATGAGTTTCCTTGTTAAGGTTACTATCAGACCTATTTAAAGACTTGAAACCACGAAGAACTTTCCATTTTTGTTTGCTGGATCTAAGTTCTTGTTAATTTTATTAAAAAAAAAAACACACGCACGCAAAAATAAGATGATTGCACTTTAACATGCATGTCAGAAAGACCTCCAAAATTGAAAAATGTCCTTTTGACCTCATACCAGAACATGTCTAAAAAATGTGTTAGCTGGCATAATCTTAGCTTACACTTGATCACTCAAAACATATATATATCAACTTGCATTAAACATTCTCCCAGTGGATACCTACCCTCCACAAACAATCCACATTTCAGTCGAACACAGATTATAGATACTGTCGTGTGCCATACAGGATATTGTCACAACCAATTTCTTGAGAAGAAAGGTCTGAGCAAGCTGTACGCGGCATTCTGCAATGTAAAGCCTTGACTGGTTGTGATTTCCTCCACCTTGTCTGCCTTGAGTGTTATCTTTTATTTACTATCATTTTTTAATGATAAATCAACTCTGAGATATCTTAAGATTATGTGAATTAAGATGACATGCTAGACTATGCATCAAAAGAAAAATATACAACAAAAACAAGAGAGACTTGATGCAAGTGGATAAGTTCTTGCGCAAGAGATAAGGTGGTAAAAAAAAGAAAAGGAGAGTTCTTCCTATAGAAAAAGATTGAAAATGACCCAGGAGGCATGATAAGAAGAAGACCAGAGTAAGCCAAAATTAGCCACTTAAAAAGCTAAATTTTAAAGGAGATTTTTGGCCAAAGAAATGTGACAGCAGCCATAAAAGAAGAAAAAAGTGAACAATAGTAAAAATACAAGTGTTAAAAATAAGCAGGTGAAGGTGAGGCTACAATGACAATAAAAATGGTGTATGTCAAACTTATAAAAATATATATATATATATCATGAGTTTGAGGAGGGATATTAAAAAAAAATCAAAGTAAATATTATTAATTATTTTATAATCAATAAAAAAATCAAATAATTGAACAATTTTAACTCTAAATAATCAAGAAATTATTTGAATCATCTAATTAAATGAGATGAGCAAGTATATTTTTTTTGTAATTTATTTTATTTTTGTATGCATCTTACGACTATATAAACTCTACATAAGTTGAATGTAATTACTATCTCAAATTATCAAATAATAATTTCCTTCTCTATTCTAAATTTCTTTCCAATCATGGCCTAAAAATATACAGAACACGCTAATTCACTAACTTGGCTGATTGATCAATCTTCTGGACAAGCTTCTGAAAGCAATTAATGGTAGGAGAAGATCCATACAAGGACAACAGGAAAAAACCATGGTCACTGATGGCTCAAGGATTCAACTCACCATAAACCTATGATGCCAGCATTTAACAGCTATCATGATAAGATTCAAGTCATGGCAATATTTGCAGCAAGAGGTTGACAGGTGACAGATCAGATACATATGGTGGGTAGCCTAAAAGAAAAAAATTCACATTGTTGATGGCAAACCAATCAAAAGGATGTCTCTTTTCATTTCTGGGATGGAAATTGATGAAGATTTTCGCAACCTGAGAGGATATGTAATCCGTGAATCATCAGAGATTGTTGTGTTCCTTGAAACCATGAATCGAATAAGGGGATGAGCCTCCCAAGAGAAAGCTAAGTATTGTGGTGCAAACTCCATCTTGTCAGCTTAATGCAGCATGCATTCCTTTGGAAATGAAGGGCTCGTGTACTGTTAACAGCACAATGCAGCTTCTTTTGAGCAGATAATTTCTCCCCTAAGACGATTATTTTTTCATAAACAAGCGAAGGATCATGAGCGGAGATTGTAGCCTCAGGTGGCATGGTCTTGAAAATGATGATTCCCTTTATGTGTTAAAGGGTACAGCAAGCCGCAGTGGATTCTGAGTTGCTGTATGTTCTGCAGTTATGGTTGCAGATCAAGCCCATGTTAGTGGAAATTCCAAGTAGAGGTTTCCTATTTTCTTTGGTCTCGTTAGTTTATTACAGCCTCAGGATTGTCCCCTGCTATTTGTTCCACAAAATTTGAATGCTGTTTGAATTCTAGCCTTTACAGCATCAGATTAGTAACTAAAGTAGTTATCATGGTATGCTCTGTTGATTGAGTTGAAATGAAACATGCATGCCTATCACTATCTGTGTCCTTTTTAATTTTTAAAGTTAATGGTTTCAATTATTTGATGTTCTCAGTTCATGTGTTTGATGTTCTATTTGCTTCAAATATTTCAGAAATAAAACAAAAATTATACTAAGAGAATTAATTCTCTCTTTATTTCCATTAAAAAAAAAATCATTCTCTCTTTATCATCATAATCTTAACCATTAATATGCATATTGTAAATGCAATGATTTATAGTATTAAAAATTAATGTCAATGATTTGCATGTGATTCAATAGCTAATGAAGGAGATTTAACATCAATCCTATTTGGTTCTTTTCTTCTTCTTCTTCTTTTATATCGCAGACACTCTCTTGCACGCCATCTACTAGTGAGTAGCCACTCCCAAGAACCAAACCACGGGGGAGCGCCCGCCAGCACGAGTTCCACCAACAAGGGCACACTTGTGTGTGGATTAGAAATGCAAGAGGTAGGATTTAAATCAGGGATGTCTTTACTCCTGGTTAATTCCATAACACTTGACTACTGGATGCCAAACCCTACTTGGTTCTTGGGAGTAAAATAACAGAGTAAAATAACAGGAATGTGAATTGAAGGGGGAAAGAAGGTGATTCTCAAGAACATCTCAACGTATAAAAGGAGTACTAAAAATCCCAGATGGCTCTAGGACAAAAAACACAAGAAAATTTTTGTTGCTTTATTGATAAGAACATATTTTGGAAAGGAGAAAACCTTATTGATCCATCAACTAACAATTTGCTGTCGTTATTTCACACAACAGCATAGTTTATGCTACAAACTCCTTAAACTACACTGTACTCTTTAGCATTTTCTTTCATCTGCTTGATGAAAAACATACATGACTGGTAAATTTCATCTCCTTTTCGACACCGCATTTCGCTGAAGAAACTATGCCTGCTCCAAGAAAGAATGGGGCCAGGTGAAAACCAAATGATCAGTAGATTCATCATGATGATCAACCGGATCGAAGAAGAGGTAGATATGAGATCCATCTTGAACCCCACAATCAACTAAAGCTGCCCCATCACCTTCTTCATTTATCAGGTGACTTCGTTTGCTGCTGAGAAACAGGATCAAACGATCTTGAGGTAGTTTCTGCTGTGCCTCAATCTCTTTCTTAAGATCTGCAACCGTGGCATCATTGTCCACTTGAATGTAGAAAAGGGTTCCAGTCAAAATCTCCACCACCACCTTCATTGTAAACACCAAAGCTTTCTGATCATTTACTTCGGATATTACTTAAAATCTCATCCAAGTGGAAGAAAAACATGGAGAGAAAGAGAATTAGGCAACCTTGTATTACATGAAAGGTGTTAACGCCTGCTGCATTGTCGCAAGTTAGTTTGTACTATGTAGCATGCTTATGCTATGAGTTTGAATGAAATGTTACGTGCCTTTTTATACGTATGCAGGGAAGCAAATCTGTGCTGGTTAAGACTACATAGCGATTCTGCATATAGAATTAGGTATTCTATGTATCAAAATTATTAAACATGATCGCATTTATAATTGAATTTAGAATTCAGATCATATATTAAAAAAAGATAATTTAAATAAATCAAAATGATACTATTTTATTTTTATTTTTATTTTTTTAATATTTATTTTATTTTTATTTTTTTAATATACACACACACATATGCATGTAGACTCTTAAACACACACACACATATGCATGTAGACTCTTAAAATAATAATAATTAAATAAAATTTAAAGAAAAGATAGATATGAAACTACAAATCATATAGGATTCTGCATATAGAATTGGACATTCTACGTATCAAAGTTAATAAACATGGCCGCATTTATAACCACTGAATTTAAAATCCAATTATAAATTAAAAAGGTTCATTTAAATAAATTAAAATGATATTATTTAAATTTTATTTTTTTAATACACTGTGTGGACTCTTAAAATAATAATAATTAAATAAAATTTAAAGAGAAGATCGGTATGACATGGACCATGTTTAATGTATTCTTTAAATTATGACGTGACAGTTATGATATGAATATTAAATAATGATATGGTATTTAAGTGATGATGTGGCAGTTATTATATATAAAAAGAAAAGTACCCTCCATTTCATTAAATATTTTTGAAATATAAAAAAAATATTATATAATTAAATGTCAAGTTTTAGTATATTGGGCCTATGGATTATATATATATAATCCAGGCAAATCAAGTTAGCAAATTCAAATTCTAGTGATTCCATTCTTACTTCAGTTTTGTCTTGTGCCTAAATATAGCATGTTATTTTGGGCCTATGGCTACTTTAAGGCTTTCTCAAAAACATTCGGAAGCAGTAGAACCAGCCCACAAGGTAAGAACGACGTGGCCCAAAAACATATCACAGTTAGAATGTTCTAGACCCTCGAGCAATCAGAGCCCAAAAAAGCCTAGTTATAAAACTGGCCCGAAGTCAGTACTTGGCATGGCGATGCAAACAGAAGCACAGATGAAAAGACAAGAGACAAGAAAAACTAGTCTTGCCCGAAATAACATCATCCCGTGAACACTAAGGTAGTGTTTCTTTTTTATTTATTTTTTGAAATTAATTTTTTTTATAGTTTGGAGTTGGAAATAAATTTTATAAAATAAAAAATATTTTAAAAAATAATTACAATATTAGAACAAAAAATCTTTTCTTAAAACTATTTTATTTTATTAATTTACAAATATATTTATTAGGCTATACGTATGCGCTTGATATTGGTATGATAATATTTCTCTACTCTACTGTCAGTTAAATAAAGTAAAATAAAAACTTAATGTTTTTTTAATTAAAACAACATTGATTTAGAGTTTTCCTTAAAAGAAGTCAAAACTTGAATCATGGTCAATCCCAGATTTACAACTTGAGTTCTGGATTGAATTGAATCTGTGGTTATGCTTTATATTCTCAAACCGAGGAAGTAAGGCATCGGGAAAACCCCCAGTTTCCTATGTATGGATACCGACCCAAAGAAGTTTCTGCGGTCAACTGAACTTCTCTCACTTGAATAATCATAATCACCGACGAAAGAAATCCCATTTTCTCACTTTATATAATCAAAACATCGACACCGTTAAATTCTAGAACCCAGCAATCTCAACCGTAGAAACAGCCCACAAGGCAAAAACCGACTTCGTCCACAAACATCATCACCGTTGAATTCTAGACACCCTTGCAATCGGACTCGTATATAAAAAAAAGACAATGAAAAGAAAAAAAGAAGAGATCTTTAAAGCATTGTTGTAAAATCATAGATATTTAACCTGGAATGGCGGGTGGGTCAATTTAGGATTCCATCGATTTAATAGTTGGATCGGTCCAGGTTAAGTAAAAAATTAGGATGAATAAAAACTCGGTAAACCTGATTCACTCCTGTCCCGAATGACCGGTAAAACCCGATTGAAACCTATTTCAGGTCAGCCTACCAGCCAGTGTTTAATAACTATGGCTGTCATAACCTTAATGATATGCCAGATTCACTGGAATCGAGTGAAACCCGAATTTATTTATTTTTTTCATGAAACTTTAATGATAAACGACGCCATTCTGATTTAGGGATAAAAATCCTGACTTCCCACTCCAGTTCCCAATCTGCTCCTCCTCCATTTTCTTTTTACCTCGTAATTTTGGGCCTGAACCTCATCAGCACCTGCTGTAATATCTCCTCTCAGTCCTCCAGCTAATTCATTAGTAATGGGAAGTCCTGCCTCAACCTTTCCCTCTACCCCACCAGGGGAACCAACAGCTAGATCAAGTGATCAACCATGGCACTGATATCTCTGAAAATACAGCATCCACTGATCCAGGGGTTTTAACATCGGTGTGGCAGTTGCAATAGGCTTTGTGGTTGGGTTTTTGTGTGTGATTCTTGGTGGGGTAATCTTGAAAAGAAAGAATTAATTTATAAAGAGAAAGAACGGAGATTGAAGGATCTGCTTTTTTGGGTTCGGTGAGATGGGATCGGGAACAGTGAGAATGGTGTGATTGTGGATGACGGAGATCTAGCGGTGGTGTAGGATTATTAAATTGCAAGTTGCTTAGAGGGTAAACTTCATGTTTGATTTCTTTTAAATTGCTTACTAATAATGGGATTGAGGGCTAGGTTCAAAGCGTACGCAATTTCATCCGGATATGTTAAAAAGTTTGGAATTTTTTTTATTTGGTGTTTTTGGGTTTTGATTTGAAATTTTAAGATCTAGGTGAATGTTGTTTGTTTGTTTTAAATTATGTTTGATTCTCGCATCTTAAAAGTTTTTTTGGATTGATTTTGAGTTAAAATTAATAATTATTTTTTATAATTTAAAATATTTTAAAAAATCTAAATCACGTGATTCTAATTTAATTTTTATTTAAATAATATCAATAATTAAATTTTGATTGAACTTGTTATATATTTTTTCATAAGTCGGATCAAGATGGATTTCAAGTGGACTCGGGGTCATGTGTCATGTAATTTCGGGTTAACTGTCAAGTCAATTCAGGTTATAAAATTAATGCTTTTAAGGTTGTAAAAACCAATTCGAGCTTGCAAATCAATATTTTTTATTAAAATAATATAGTTTTAAAATTAAAAAAATAAAGATAAAAGCTAAAAGTCAAACTTGGATTTTATAATTAAACTTAAGACGTACGGTATCAAGGAAAACACCGGCTTTCTTTATATAGATACCGACCCGAAGAAGTTTGTGTGGTCAGTAAATCTTCTCTCTCGCCTTATATAATCATAATAAACATAGAAAGAAATCCCATTTCTTCTCTATCGTTCTTCTGTCTACTTGCTTTGATTCTCAATCGTTCTCTCAGGTAATAATTCGTTGTCGTTTTCTAGCTTTTTTTTTTTGAAGGGATTGTTTTGGTTGCTCGAATTTGATGATCGTTGTTTTTGTTGTTCGTATGCAAATATTGGGTTCTGGTTAATTTTGTGTTTGGTTTTGATTGTTTCGTTACTGGGATAATCTTAGTTTTGGTTTGTTGTTCGTGATGGGTTCTTGTTTTTACTATGGTTCGTGATTTTTAATGCTTGGTTTTTGCGGAAAAAATATGTACTTTTTAATTATCTTGGTAGGTTTTTCTGCACCGTGTTGAAGGATTTTTTTTATTACGGGTGATGAGCATGGTTGTCTGTTTGTTTGATAAGGAATTCGGGTAAAGGAAGGCAGAAAAATCGAGGTTTAGGCTGATGAACACTTGTTTTGCAAAAGCTGAACATGAAATTGAATGAGATCGTTGTTGCTGACTAATCCAAATTTTGGTTTTCAGAATCTGGGTTTTGGATTTATTTTTCTTGGTTTTAATGTGATTTCATAATATGTTTTTCATCTCTTCTGTTACAACACAGTTCCTGGAATTAACCATACAATTTCTTTTTTTATGTCAATGATGAGTTTAATTTGAGGTAAAGTTTGAAACTTTCAGGTGATAGTTGGGTGAGGGTGAGTGATCTCCAAGTTAGGAGTAAATTTAAAGTTTGGATTAAAAGAATTTTGATCAGAAATGATGAAACTTGCGACTCAGATGTCATGATGGAGTGGTGTGTGACTGAAGTTCAAAGCATCTCGATAAGAGATGGAATTGAAGGGCATAGCTGCCTGTAGTGATGTAGTAGAATCAGTACTTAAAGATGTTTGTTGAGCAGTTGACAGGAAACATGCTTTTTAGTTATAATAATCTGGACTAATTGTTGATGATAAGATGTAACAGTGGCTTGATAGGGAATAGGTTGAGAAATAATTTTGTTTCTGAAAAGATAGACCATTATTTGGGAATAATTAGCAACCATGAGGATGGACTTCAGTGAAGGATGAAATCAATGAGTGGTCTGCTGGAATTTGGCTATGATTCTGTACAAGATACTATTATCTGTTTGTTAAGTGGAGGAGCTGATCATAGCTAGAACCACCTCATGTATGGATAATATCTAAATGCTTTAGGTATTTTAGGTTTTGGCACTGAGTTCAGTGAGGTGTCATTATAACTTTCTTTTGTTGCTGTATTTGTTAAAGATTGACAAATTTTACCTGTTCTTTTATTTTAATTCATTGTTAAACTTGAAATCTTTCATGATTACTTTCTATACATCGAAAATAAGGAATTTACTTTCTACTTGCTAGGTTTGTTGAAATTATGAAATTAGAACTGACAATTGGATATTACATCTCTCTAAATATTTTTAGTGGTGCATCTCTCTAAATATTTTTATTGCTTGTTTTAACCTGTTTAGCTTTTAAGATTTTTCTGGATCTTGATTAATTTTGTTTTCTGCCGTTTGATTCAGCTCACAGAAGTTTGATTAATTTCAAAGAATTGCTCGTTGCTTTCACTTTCTACTTCCAGAATCTCTCTTTCATGTCTGAATTCGACAACGCTATTCCAACTGCTTTCGGTATGTTTTATTTGTTGGATTAATATATGTTTAGCGTTCTGATGAAATTAAAAGTTTATGCTAATAAAGTTTCTTCAATGAATGAAATAGATCCCTTCGCTGAGGCAAATGCTGAGGACTCTGGTGCTGGGACAAAAGATTATGTTCATGTGCGCGTACAACAGCGAAATGGGAGGAAAAGCCTGACTACTGTTCAAGGGTTGAAGAAGGAATATAGCTACAACAAGATACTTAAGGACCTCAAGAAAGAGTTCTGCTGCAATGGAACTGTTGTCCAGGACCCTGAGTTAGGCCAGGTTTGTTTCTATCTTTGTTGTTTCCAGAATGTCCTTGAGAGGTATTATCATAAATCTGTACATGGTCTGCTGTTGCAAACAAGGGGTGATTACATGCAGTCCTCAGCTTTTTTGTTATTCATACTGTTTGAAAAATGACGTGTAAAGTATTTCGGAATATCTTCTTTGAAAATGAGGATCCCGTAAAGCTAGATTTTTTTTTTATATTATGGGTGGGTATTAGATTCTCGATTACCCATGCATCCCCTGTGGAAAGATCCATTGCATGTTGGTGGCTATCTCTGACATTCCTACATTCCCTTTCTTGCTTGGAAATTTCCATCATTATCTCCTATAGTTGGTTTGAATTTAATATCTAGACCAACCCAGAGAAGGAACACTTGCAGCATGGACGGTGGTTTCTCATTAATAGAGCAACTCCACATCTGTTCAAACATTTAGAATTATTGTATTAGCAATAGTCTTTACTAGTGCATTCAATTGGTAACTAGTAAGCTGTACCAACATGAAGAGAGTGTCAGCAAGGATGTGTGTAACCTTTAAGCGGCCATCTTGTGCTTGCACTAAATACCAGTGCATAAGCCTGGTTTGGATATATTAAATGTCTTTCTGCCTGAATAATATAGTCTGAGCACTGCTTCTGTGCGTGGCTGCAGGTCATTCAACTTCAGGGTGATCAAAGGAAGAACGTTTCAACCTTCCTTGTGCAGGTAACAAGCACATCCTGGTCTTGTTTTGGACAAAGTACTTGCATATTTAGCAACCATCAATGAAAAATCTTCGTTTACTCTCTGTGAACAGGCTGGCATTGTGAAGAAGGAAAATATCAAGATTCATGGTTTCTAAGAAGTAGCAAGCTAATTGCTAGGATACATAGTTTACACGTCTCGCATGGTAGAGCTTGTGTCCTCCTCAACTTTATTTCAGGATATTCTGTTTTCTGCATTTTAAAAGTGGATTCGCTTCTTTGTGTGTGATGTGGATTTAGTGTGTACAACCACCGGATCTTTCACCGGAATAAAGGTTGCTCGCTGTGTGGATTTAACATGTATGACCACTGGATCCCTTATCAGAATAAAGGTTGCTGGCGTTCTATAGATTTTTGTGTTCCTTGCAGTAAATTATAACTTGAAAAATAACGTGATCCTTTCTACCTTTTCTTTAAGTTGAGAAAGAAGTAATATAAAATAATATTTAATATATGTTAATTATAATAATGTTCCATAGAAATCTTTAAATTTACAATAAAACTAATATAAAATGACCAAAAGCATCAGTGAGGGAGTGATGTTGATTTTATTTTCATGAACATCAAATTAATCATATTATTTTAAGAGAAAAGGACCAAGATGCCTTTAAATGAAAGATATTGTATTTTTTTTTTATTTTAGGATTAAACTAGTAATTTTATCATGTAATAAAAAAAAGGACTAATCTAGCCTTATACAACTTTATCATGATGAAAAAATCACCATATTTAAAAGATTAGTTCAGTGGTTTCTTTATTCAAGAATAATTTCATAATTATAATATTACAATGAATAATATCCCGAGTCTTAATACATATTAACTTCTCGAGAATAATTAGTATTTTTAAAATAGTTATTATACTTTAAGTATTAATTGGTCAACTCATATTTATTTTAAAAAGACTTGTTTAAGTTTTTTGAAAAATATAAAAAATAACACTATTTTAAGCAAAAAAAATTAAAAAGTTAAGATGATATATTTTCAAATAAAAATTTTAAAAAATAATTAAAGTTAAATTACTAGGATTTCATTTGAATACAATTGAGTCAACAAGATAATAAATTTAGTGTTAAGTTATTTGAATTTGATAAACCCAATTCTTGGATAAGTAAAAAATAAACTTTGTTCAAATTAGGTTCTAGATCACCGGATCGACCCACAGGCTAAATCAAGATTAATAGCTAAGGTAGAAAATGAAAAAAAAATTCCATGTTTACTAAAATAGCCCTCTTTATATATATATATATGTAGCAAGAATTATAAATGGGCTCACCCATGTGCTTATTGGGATAGTTGTTTTATGGAAGAATTATAAATGGGCTCACTCATGTGCTTATTGGGATAGTTGTTTTATGGGCCTCCAGCCCTTTCCCACATAAAAGAAAAAGGTAGCATAAGGGGTAAGAATCAGGACCACTGTCTGTCCCCATCCCACGTGGCCTCCAAACAATCTCAACCGTAGAAACAGCCGACTCGAAGAAGCTGGTGAGGCCAATAAATATTCTCTCCCCTTCGCATAATCACCATAATCGCCAAAGAAAGAAACCCAAATTTCATCTCTCATCTGTCTTGGGTTTTCTTGCTTTGTTTCTCAATCTTCCTGTTAGGTAATAATCCGTAGTTTTTTCTAGCCTGGTTTCTTTTAAGGTTTTGTTTTGGTTTGATCTTGTCTTTCTGTTTGTAAATAGTAGGTTTTGGTTAATTTTGTGTTTTGTCTATATTTTTTCGTAATGGGGATTTTTTTATATTTTTATGGTTTTTTTGTTCATGATGGTGTTTTGTATTATTGTTTGTGATTGTTTTTTTGTTGGTTTTTGCGGGAAAAATGTTTTTTTCTTAAAAAAATATTGCTAGAAATTTCTGTATGGTGTTGAAGTTTTTCTTATTTTTTCATTTTTAGCCTGGATGATGAGTATGATTTTCTGTTTGTTTGACAAGGATTTGAGGGAAAGGAGCTGAATAAGTAACTGCGTATTTACATTCAATCTTTTCTATTGGCTGATCCAAATTTTAATGTTTAGAATCCAGGTTATGTTGTGTGTTTCTCGCTCTCTTAATTGTTTCTAGCTTTTTCTTCTTTTTTTTTTCACTTGTGGACCGCTAGAACACAATTCCTGGATTTATCCAATCAATTACAAGTTTTTGGTTATGTTAATAATGGATTTATTTGAGGAAAAGTTTGGAACTTTTATAGGCTCTTTGGAAACTTAAGATTTGAGTAGAAATGAAATCATTTCGACAACATTTATCGAATTCTAGTGTTTGAAAACCGTTAAGTAACGTAAATAAATGAAGGCTAAAACTAATTAAAATTAGATGTTTTATTTTGTAGATTTGAAAATCACACCTGATTGACGCATTAAAAATTAATCCCACTAACATCCTTCTTTCCTCCCCCATTTCACACATCTGCCTGGATGAATTTTTTTGTGGTGAGGGAAGGTTGGGCGAATGATGTATTTTCACTAACTCAAGGTAAATGAATTGCTTTAAAACCAATTCCATGCAAAAAAATTCAATTTCCAAATCAAATCAAATCAAATCAATCTACTTAAATAGTTGAAATCAATTCTATTATAGAATTGGTTCCAAACAATAGGTGATAGTTGGATGAGAGTGCGTGATCTCCAAGCTAGGAGTAATATTTGAAGTATGGTTTTATAGGGTAGAGAATTATAAAGCTAGAGACTTGTGCTTCTCATGGCATGAGGAACTGGTGTGACAAAAATTCACAGTGTCTTGTTAGGAGATGGAAGTAGATGACCCTAAATTTTCTGTAGTGATATAATGGAACTAGTACTTAAAGATGTTTGTTTGTTCATCAATTGACAAGAAAAGATATGTTTGATGAATGGGGTGATCCACATGCTTTTTAGATTTTATTATTTTGGACTGATTGTTGATGATAAGGTGTAACAGCTGCCATTATAGGAATAGATTGAGGAAATAGATGTGTTTCTGAAAAGATAACCCATTTTTCGAGTGAAGTCAGAAATCATTGATTGGTCTACCGGAATACGTGGCTATGACGCTGATTAAGATACTCACATCTGTTTGTTAAATGGTGGTGTAGACTGTAGCTAGACCCATCTGATGTATGGATAATCTGTAGCTGCTTTAGGTATTTTAGTGTTTAAAGGTACTGATTTTTTTTTTTTGTTTTTTTTTGTGTTATTCGTTACAGAATGATAAAATTTATCTTTCTTGCATTTTAATGTATAGTTACAATCTTTCATGATTATTTTATACATCCAAGGATTTTTCTTTCTCATTGCTTGGTTTGACATAAATGTGAAATTAGAAGTGATGATTGGATAGTAAAGCTTTCTAAATCCTTCAGCACTTATCTTGACCTATTAAATTGTAGGCTTCTCTGGATCTTGATCCGTATCTCTCTCCTGTGGAACCTTCCACCCTTAATTTTATTTTCTGGCATGTGTTGCAGCTCAGAGAAATTTGATTAATATCAAAAGAATTGTTTGTTGGCATCGCTTTCTACTTCCAGAATCTTTCTTTCATGTCTGAATTCGACAACGCTATTCCAACTGCTTTCGGTATGTTTTATTTGTTGGATTAATATATATTTAGCATTCTGATGAAGTTAGAAGTTTATACTAATAATGTTTCTTCAATGGATGAATAGATCCCTTTGCTGAGGCAAATGCTGAGGACTCCGGTGCTGGGACAAAAGATTATGTTCATGTGCGCGTACAGCAGCGAAATGGGAGGAAAAGCCTGACTACTGTTCAAGGGTTGAAGAAGGAATATAGCTACAACAAGATACTTAAGGACCTCAAGAAAGAGTTCTGCTGCAATGGAACTGTTGTCCAGGACCCTGAGTTAGGCCAGGTTTGTTTCTATCTTTGTTGTTTCCAGAATGTCCTTGAGAGGTGTTATAATAAATCTGTACATAGTCTGCTGTTGCAAACAAGGGGTGATTACATGCAGTAGGCAGCTCTTTTGGTATTCAAACTGTTTGAAAAATGACGTGTAAAGTATTTTGGATCATCCTCTTTGAAAATAAAGCTCTTGTACCTTTTCTGATATTATGAGTGGGTATTAGATTCTCCATCACCCATGCATCCCCTGTGGAAAGATCCTTTGCATGTTAGTAGCTATCTCTGACACTCCTAAATTCCCTTTCTTGCTTATAACCTCAGTTGCTTTCCAAATCTTTCTCTATTATCTAGACTATAATCTTCTGCATCTGTAACAGATGATTTTCTTTCCATCTATTCCCCCAAGCTGCTTAGAAATTTCCATCATTATTCTCTTCTAGTCGGTTTGGTATCAAGACCAACCCAGAGAATGAGTGCTTGCAGCATGGACCTACAATTCTCATTTGGCATGTTATAGAGAAACACACCAAATCTGTTCAGACATTAGGAATTATTGTATCAACAATAGTCTTTACCAGTGCATTCATTTGATAGCTGCTAATGTGTGCCAACATGAAGAGAGTTTGTCTGCAAGGGCGTGTGTAACCTTTAATGGATCCTTCTTGTGCTTGCACTAAACACTGCTTTTTGTGCGTGGGTTGCAGGTCATTCAACTTCAGGGTGATCAAAGGAAGAACGTTTCCACCTTTCTCGTGCAGGTAATAATCACATCTCTGATCTTGTTTTAAATGAAGTTCGTTCTATATTTAGGAGCAATGAATGAAAATTGTTTCTTTTGCTCTCTGTGAACAGGCTGGCATTGTGAAGAAGGAAAATATCAAGATTCATGGTTTCTAAGAAGCAGCAAGCTAATTGCTATACCTAGTTTACACGTCTTGCATGGTATCAAGTTCGATATCATATAGAACTTGCATCTTTAGCTTGTGTTCTTTTCAACATTAATTAAGGATATTCTGTTTTTCGCATTTTACAAGTGGATTCGCTGCTTGTTGTGTGATGTGGATTAAATATGTATGACTACCGGATCCCTTATCAGAATAAAGCTTGCTGGCGTTCTATAGATGTTTGTGTTACTAGCAGTAAATTGCATGATCCTTTCTACCCTATCTTTAAGTTGAGAACGGAAGCGGTTGCGTGCCTCTTTGAAATCACTCTTTAATGTCCATTAAGGAGCTTTTTTTATATTTGTTCTCGGATTTCAACTTGGAAATTTTATAGTATTTACTTCATATGTTTTTCTGGTATGTATTTACATGTCCAAATGGATATATATTTGGACCTGACAAGGATTTCTGACGGGTTTGTTGAGGATGAGCACAGCTTCTGAAATAAGTTGTTCCATATGCTTTTTCCTGCTCTTCCCTCCTGTTACCAAGATGCTGCAACTGCAGGGCAGGACAAACTTCCTTAATTTACATGGGAGTTGTAAACGACAACTCCCATTATCCGCATCTTGTATTTGCCTTTTGGGCCTAGTTGGTCAGGGCTTTGTGGGTACTTGCTTTGTTTTCAATCCTGATTGGTCATAACCTGACAGGACCAATTTGGGTTGGTATAAATACTTTGGTTTTGGATCTTGTTGATCCCAGCTTGTTGGAGCCTGTTTTAGGGTATTTGCTTTGATTTTCAGGTCTGGTTGGACCCGGCTCATCACGGTTTGTTTTAGTGGGTTTTCACCCTGGTTTTCAAACCTGGTCGGTCCTAAAACCTGGTTGGTCCTAGTATATCAAGGGCCGTTTCGGTCCCAGAATATCAAGGGCTGTTTCGGTGTTTTATTTACTGTAAATGCAGATTTATTGTACCGTGAATTGAAACAATATAGTGGTAGTGATGATGTTATTTCTAAAAAAGAATCTTGGAGGGTAATACAGTTTATTTACAAGGTTCATTACAAGATTGAATAAAGATAATTTGAGAATAATTTAGTTTTTTTATATTTTTAAAATTGAATAAAATAATTAAATTACTTTTAAAAATAAAATTTATTTAACGGATATCTAGCATTTTTTTGAATTTCAAACTTTTTTAAAGTATAGTAAAATAACTAAATTACTTTTAAAGATAATATTTCTTTAATCAGCGACTGGGTTTATATATATATATATATATATTTCATCCTAGTTCCCGAGTTATAATTTAATTGATTAAAGGGTAATTTGATTAACTAAAACCTACAAAATAGTATTTAAAAATCAAAAGTGCAGGTGCATGCATTCATGTGGGTTGCATTTGTGCTAATTCAGGCGGTTCATGAGGGGGATTTGACAGCCATGGTGCAAAGGTGATGGTTCTGGCCATGGTATAGCCTACAGAGAGGCTAGGTGGGGAAGACAACAAATTCTCACCATCTTTTACCATTTTGTTTATCTTAAGCAAGCGGACAAGGGGGATTCACCAGAAAAGGAGCTCATCGACTGAAGGACAAGAAGGAGCAGCGATCTTGTACTTGTCAACGTAAATTTATACAGTAATAAACAAGTGATCCGTAGACATCGAACAAGTATATGCACAGATGCACTTGTCATGTAATTAATGCACGTAGGCATACTATTTTCTTATCTTCTTGTTTGTTTTCTTACTCGCATTTCATGTGCTTTCTCCAATCAGCCATGACCTGAGTCTCACCTGGTCTGGTCTCCATCTCAACACTGTTCTAGGTCTCGAAAGAAAACAAAACCGAGCCGAATGCAAGCTTATCATTTCCTACCTAACACCCACCAAACCCCAACAACACGAACTATACGTTACTGAGTAGTTGTTGTCTGACAGCGCGGTTCAATTATGTTTTTCATGAGTTTTCGATTTTTTTCTTGCTTTAATTTAACTTTTTTTATATTTTCAAATCGTTTTAATTTATAAATATTAAAAATAAATTTTAAAATATTTTTTTAAACAAAAAAACACTTTATAAAATAATTTTATCTATGTTCTAAGCACCGAGGAGCATTCTAACTGCACAACTACCCCAGCTTTTTAGCCTGTTGAGGTTCTCGATGAGGAACACTCAGGGCTTGTCCCTAGTAACCTAAAATGCATAAAACCTCCTTTTAGACTCGTGTTCATGGCCGAAGTAGCTGTAGACATTTTTCTATTTCTTCCTTCAACCCCCTCGTTTCTAAATATTATTTAACTCTGAAACCTATTTCAAACCCAACATTAGGATCCCAATGATCTCAAGATTTGGAAAACAAGATTCGTTTTGTTTATAATTGACAATATTTAAGTGTTTAAATAACAATTAGTCAAAATGTTCCATTAATAAGTTTCGGATAAAACCTTGAACAGGTTGAAGAAAGTGAATGATTGAGGCACACCGTTATTACGTGGCTTGAAAAATGGTTTAATTATCCAGGGATAAACATCAACTTGTGTGCTTAATAAAGTCATAGTTTTCGCCACGCAAAGATAATCATGAGATTTATTTACAATCTTAACATATATTAAATAAAAAATATTATTTAATTATTAAAAACACTTTTAATTTTAAAATAAACTTTAGATTAATCAGCCGAATTGTAATTGTAGCCCGAGAAATTGGTAAATATGATAGTCACAGTCACAAACTTCTGCAAGTAGAAACGAAAAAATTCATTTAAATAATGGCTACAAGAACGAACCAACCAACCGTTTAAGTGTTCAACTACCTATCAAAGTTGGACTAGCGACGCACAATTCCTTCAACTACCATTCTTCGACACCAGCGCCCATTCTTCTCCATCCATCGATGACCACCTCTCGCTGTATCTTTTTTGCCTTTCTCTATTAATACTCCGCCTCTTATGTCCCTTCAATTTCACACACAGTTGCCCTGCCTAGACTCAAAAGATTATAATTTTTTTTTTTTGCTCTTAGTTATGGCTGACTCGGATCACTCCTCTAGTGATGATCTCTCTGTTGATTCTAGAGGTACTTAATTGGAATGTTTGCCCTCTTTGTTAGTTATTCAAGGGTTCGTTGGTTTTGCACTTTTTTCTCAACTTTAATGATTGATTTTAGAGGTACCCTTTTGAAAGTACTTTTTTTTTTTTCCTTAGACTTTCTTGATTTTAGTCGTGGGATTATTAATTAGTACATCAAAATGCTCAAATGGAGCTCTTTGTACTTTCATTTTGGGCTTATTTCTTTGTTTTCTGGCTAATTTCTGCTCCAATTGCGTTTTTCTTTCTGGGTTTAATGGTTATTACAAGATTGAAAACTGTTAGTCCTTTGTCTTAAGCTACCAGTTTGAAACTTAAGATTGGATTTTTTTCATGGGTTATAAATTGCAGATACCAGCCAAGATACCAAGCTTGAATTCTCAGAAGACGAGGAAACTCTTATTACTAGGATGTACAATCTGGTTGGTGAGAGGTAGGCTTAAACTTCACTTCTCCCTTGTCCTTCATATGTCTGTTTACTACAACCATTTTAGTTTTGATTGAGAAAGTTTTGATCTCTCTAGGTGGACTTTAATTGCTGGGAGGATTCCTGGAAGAACAGCAGAGGAAATTGAGAAGTACTGGACTTCAAGATACTCTACAAGTCAGTAAATTAGGGATCTACGTCCAAGGTCCTGTCTGATGTCCTAGAGTTGTCAAAATTTTGGCTGGTTTGTAACAAAATCTGGTTCTACTTAGGAACTGCAATATGGGGGTTTAGCTGTGATCAAAATATCTGTACAATGGTTTTTCAATGCGGTAATGGTAGTTAATTAATGTTTGGCAGCGTAGATTGTAAGATGAAATCTGCTTGTTAATATGGTAAATTGAGAAATTTTTACATGAACCTAGACACCCTTTTATTTGGTCTATATGTATATAATTCCAATGGTGGTGAAACGGAGCTTTCAATCCATGGAATTTGTATGAAAATCTTCAAGCACAGATGCTCTCTATTCCAGGATCTATGAGATTGGCCAGGATTGGTGACTTGCATAAAGGTGCATCATAAACAGGTCCTTGACCTTTTAACTTGGCTAACATTTTTCTTCTGGGACATCAATTCTGGTACCGTTTTGAACTCAGGGATCTGGTGCCAGACAAAATATGAAAAGGGGATAGGTATGATATTTAAAAACGCATCCATGGTCTGACTGCCATGCTGAGTCCTCCGGCTCAGGGCAGAGTAGTATGGCAGAGATCCAAGAAGCATCTTTTTCCATTCAATGATTTGTGGAAATTTAGGAGCTCAATGTTTCGTGCCAATTGTCATATTCATGAGAAGAATTTGGCTGATGCAAATAGGCGGAGACATTTCGTTTTGTTTAGTCTTTTTCATCTTCTGTGGGCGGTGTCTGGTTTGGTAGGTAAAATCACTTGATATTGTATCAAGCAAATGGCAATTTCAGAGTCAATTCTTGCTAATACCTAGAATGGAGGGATTAAAAAAGAGTACAAAACTCTTTTTCCTCGTAATATTTTATAGTTCAAGATCCAAATACAGTTCTAGCAGTTTAAATTTTAAAATTTCGACAAAATATTGATTATACTCTGGTTTTGTTAAACCTGGATGGCTAGCATATTGAAACTCAGTTTATAAAATCTGATTCGAGTTGGATTTGTAGCTAAATCAAATAAGAAATTAATCTGACAAAACCAGTTTAATCTAACATTGATCTTAGTAATTTAATTGACCAGATTAAACCTAATGATATGGATTTCTTTTGTTTTCAGATGAGAGCTGAGACCGAAGAACTCCATCTAAACTCTGAAGCCCATTGTGGCATGGTTGAAACAATTTAGATGGTAAATGGAGTTGCTTCCTCTTGTTATCCCCATGAGATACGATTTCTTCTATGTGTAGTTTACTTAAAATCTGACTGAAAGATAAAAATTTCGGATTCTATGCATAAACATTAAACATTACAGCTGAAAAAAATGTCTTATTCAGTTACGTGAGGGTAGAGAAAAACATGTTCAACTGGATATGAAGGGGAGAGCTGTCCTTGACTAGAAAAAAAAAAAAA